GGATGGAGTCCAGGTTTTGGGGTCGGAAGTGGTTTTTGTCTAAGACTGAGTCATTCATTGTTTTTGGCGTTTAATATTCGCATAGAGAATCCATTTTTCATCACCTGTGACAATTCTACCCCAAAATGGTTCACGCGCGTTATGCGCCAGAAGAGAAGAAGCAACGTTCACATGTTGGAAACGATTATCATCGGAGAGTTCGTGAGGCACCCAAACACCTTCTTTATGGAGTTTCCACATATTCCTTAGATGTTTACGAATTGTTTCATGAAACACATGCAATTTCAGGGTCATTTCATGAATGTGTTGCCTTGGGTTAATCTCAACAAGCGTCTTTAGCCCCTGCTATAACAGTTTTTAAGGCTAAAGTCACCTGAACGAAATTTGCTGAACCATCTTTGACACTTACGAACGTTCAAAATATTTCCATAAATGTCTTTGATAATCTTTGTAGCTAGAGAGGCGTTGTTTCCCTTCTTGTATTCAAACGTCATTACATGCCGAATGTGTGTCTTGTCGTGTGCCGTCACTATAACGGATTAAAGTATACTAAACTTTATACATTATATAGGCTACACTAATTTGAGGTTTAGGCGGTTCGTTTAACTATAATAGGTATGTACGTTTTTTGGGGTGTGGTTAATGGAAGTGTTCCAAAACGCGACATTAATTTCTTGACGACCTAATAGATCTCTGCTAATGTAATTTACTTTAAGTTTAAGTCCAGTAGCTACGGGTGTGTCGGAGCACCCCCTTCAACTAGAAAAACATTTTTATATTCCCGTATTTGGTACTTTAATTTCTATCAATTCAAAATTAGGGATGGCTAACACACACAGAGCTTTTGTGTAGTTTGCAAGAATTTCAGAAACAAATTGGCTGTTGAAAATATCCCACAATTCTAAATTACCTATGTCCAGGGCCGTACCGCGGTTAGCGGGAGAGGTGCGTTTGCACAGGTTTGTTTGTGTGTTTGTTTTTGAATTTCGCGTAAACCTACACGAGGGCTATTTGCGCTAGCCGTCCCTGATTTAGCAGTGTAAGACTAG